TCACTGAATATATTTTTAAGATGCTTATTTCCCATGGTTAGTGCAGTTACCACTGTGGTTATTTGCTTTAGTTCGTGAAAAGTTATAACCACCAGTCATCATGAAACCTAAAATGTTGTCCCATATGTATCAGTTTCTCTTGGATCAAAGCATTGATAGTTTTGGATTCAGTTCGATTAGGAAGGAAATCCTTTCTTATTGTCCAAAATTTCACTCATAAAATGGCTCGAGGATACTATATTCTAAATATATGACCTGTTCCTTTTTATTAATGTTTTTTGAGTTTTATGACCATTGTGTAGTGGTTAGTCTAGTGGAGGTTCCCGGATCTTATCTAATTTTTGTCTTCCAGAATGCCGTTTATAACACTTCGGAGTTTAAGATGCGGTATCAAAACAAGTGTCATAGAGGAGAAGACAATAGCTTGTCAACTGTTGCGCGACTATGTTCATGATCTGAAAGAGGATTTCCACCCATGGATTGACCAGGTTTGCATGAATATACTTTCATGTATTTCGTACAAGCTATTGATTTAAATTGGATTTAACAAATGATTTCATTGCATGAAACAGGCTACGCAAGCATTAGTTCCGCTATTGAAATTGCGTTGCCATGAGGAACTTTGGGTAGCTGCAATTTCAAGTGGGATTTATAAATCTAGCTCCTCGTGTTTTTTTCTTTTCCTCTAATTTTGTGAACTACTGACATATGTTCTGTTAGGTTGTAGCCTTGCCAAAGATGTTACGTTCTGCTAAAGTGGCTGTTGAGAAAGGAATTGCTCAAGGTCTAAATGAAACATATGTGAAGCAGTTATCAGACTACATAATACCAGCCTTGGTGGAAGCTTTGCATAAGGTTGACTTCAACTTACATTATCGGTGGAGTTAGTGTTAATCGTTCTTTGTTCAATTGTACAATATGTATGGGTTTTTATACAATTGTGGTATGGACTGTAAACTTGATCACTCTCATAGCTATCTCATTCAGGAGACTGACACAGAATTATGCCTGGGTGCGTTGCAAAAAGTGAGCAAGTGCTTGAAGGTTTGTTATTTACCAAGGTTATTTAGTTCTTTGAATATCTGCATCTATGGTTCACATTCTCGTGGATACATACTTGGTAGGCATCTAGCTATCTATTCACTGAACAGCTTATATGGGTAGGACTTAAAGAATCAGGAGAACAATGTCGAGTCCAGAATGATAAAAGAGCTATAGATGATTATCTGTCTTGCACGTCAAGGGCCTCAATATACCATTAAACATCTATGATTTTGCTGGGACTCCTTTGTGGATGTTCATTTATACCAGGAATCTCTCTTCTTTTTCCAGATATCTGCCCCACTCCTGGATGAAGGTCAGGTGCAGAGCATTGTCGATGAGATAAAGAAGGTCCTCACTGATAGTTTGAATCGAAAACGAGAGCAAGCAGAAAGAACAAAATCTGAAGACTTTGATGCTGAGGAATCTGCTGAAGACTTTGATGCTGAGGAATCTGACTTTAACAATGAAGAATTTGAACTAGAACACAAGATTGAAGTACACAAACGAACGATAACTTCGAGTATCTTTGTTCTTATGCTTAGCATTTTAATCTAACTCTGTCTTATCAAATCTCCATATATCTCTGGATTAGGTTGGTGAAATATTGCGCATGCTGATCGAAACATTCAAGGCAGCCTTCTTACCTTTCTTTGATGAGTTGTCTTCATATCTAATGCCTATGTGGGTAGGTGCCTCCTCATTGTATTCAACGTGACTTCAGTATCTAACGCACTTTTCTCATTTTGTTATATAACTAATTTTTTTTTCCTTTCATGCTTGTCTGTTAAGGGCAAGGATAAAACAGCTGAAGAAAGGAGGGTAGCAATTTGTATTTTTAATGATGTTGCAGAGCATTGCCATGAAGCAGCTCTAAAGTAGGTGTTTATATAGGTTTGTCTTGTTTGGATACTAGAATGGTGCAGTATTAGATATAACTACTCCTTCCTGTTCAAACTAGGTACTATGACACATATGTTCCTTTTATTTTGGAAGCATGTAATGATGAAAGCTCAGATGTTCGACAGGTTTGCTTATGTTAAAGGCGTCACCTTTTTCAGATAATTGACATCTTCTGCTTGATTCTCAAATTGTTATTGTTATTTTAGGGAGCTGCTTATGGACTTGCCATATGTGCAGAAAATGGTGGTTCTTTTTTTAAACCTTTTGTTGGAGGTATGATATAGTTGATGGTGTTGGAAATGTTATATTTTAAGTAGTTTTTCCTACTCTTTTGACGGGATCAAGGGGTTAATATAACTTTTAGCTTACCTGATATAAAGAACAACTTTATTTTAGAGGCTGTATCGCAGCTCAGTATAGCTGTAGGGCATCATAATGCTCTTCAAACTGAGAATGTAATGGCGTACAATAATGCTGTTACGGCACTGGGGAAGATATGCCAGTTTCATCGTGACAGTATTGACTCTTCCCAGGTATATTCTTTTGGGAACCTTTTATTTTTATTTTTAATAGGTATTTTTATATATTTTAACTTAGGATATGCTTGGGGTGGAATACTCGGATTTTGGTAAGATAATGGGTTTATGCTTAAAACTTCATTGAATTATTTGTAAAAACTCAGAGAATTTGCTAATATCAGAAATAAAAGAAGATTAGGAGTTTTCTAGTGCGTCTGTAAGGAAGATTTATGATTGAAGAAGAAGAGCAAAAAGTGAGAGTGAAGAAGTTTCTGAAGCCTGCTTACCTTCTGGAACTGTTGATTTTATTTATATTTCTAGTCTCTGTGTGGCCCCAAAAGTTTGTAGTCAGTAATTTGTGTTACCGCCTCTTCTACAACACCCGAACAAGTAAACTTATGTTCTAGCAATCACTTATTTAATTGCTCTATGAATAAGTTTCTTATATAAGAACTTCACTTTACCTTAGGTGAGACTAGCTTCAGTTCTGACTTATGCTTGGCCTATTTTAAAAAAGTAAACATATGGTCTTTGCTCGTAGAAGATTTAAACATTCTCCAGTACCTTGTTATAATTTCAACAATGTTAATTTCTAAAGACTTTTGTCAGGTTGTCCCTGCTTGGTTGAATTGCCTGCCTATAAAAACTGACTTAATAGAAGCGCAGGCAATACACGACCAACTCTGTTCGATGGTTGAAAGGTATTCAATCAGCTTGCTTTAACTTATCTGTTTCAGTAAATAATGATGGCAATTTTTTGAATTTTTTTCCTGACTAGATGGATGTAACAAAGATCCACTACTATTTGGTTAGTTGCCCTTGGTTCTGGACATCATATTATATAAGTATTCTCTGCTATTTTAGACGACAACGATTACAGCTCAATTTAAACTAGTTGGCATGTGTTATATGAATCCTATATATATCCACTCTGCTTTTGTGGCCTCTAGAGTCTTTATGTTTAACCAGGTTTTCATTTTTCCTGCTTGCAGTTCAGCTGCAGAACTATTAAGCCCCAACAATCAGTACCTTCGAAAAATTGTTTCAGTTTTTGCTGAGGTTAGTTATTATTATACCTTCTTGGTCAGGTCAGCGCTTTGTAGCAAAAAAAAAGAGTTTCAATTTTTATCTCAATTCCTGGTGCTGGATCCAGTACATCTGATCCAAAAGACTAAGATGTTTCGACCACATCCCCTTGTATCTTTGTCCTTCTGGGAGTCTCTCTCGACAGGTCACAATTGCCGCGAGCAAAGATATTAATGACGAGGAAGGCTTTTTTGTTATGCTACTAATACTTGCTCTGCTATTCTGCCCAAGCCTGGCTGAGGAAGAGTTACGGGGCGTAAAACAAAAAAATACGCCGATCGGGCATACTATGTGTAATGATTCCCCCATTCACGATAAATAAAAAGATAAAAAGAAAAGCCATTCCATTTCGACAAAAGACCCACACCCAAGTTCCATAGCTTTTGGTTCGCTATCCCGATCATGATTTTCCTACCCCCAGAGGGAAAGGTACTTCCCTTTTGGGACAACCTCTGGATTATCTTTGGCCTCACACTCGAGTAGTTGATTGATTTGCTACAATGGTTGTCATAAAGTATTATAGCCTTATATCAAAGTAATATTCATCTCACTACCATTTTGTAACCCAAATTTGCTTCATATGTAGGTTTTATGTGCCGATGAGGAACTTGCTAGTGAAGAAACACGAAGCCGGATGATTAATCTGTTGAGGCAGCTCCAGGAAACACTACCACCTGCATCACTGGCTTCAATATGGTCTTCCTTGCAACCTCAGCAGCAAACAGCACTGAAATCAATTCAATCATCTTAAACTTGTTTCTTCCCAAGGCAATGGAGCTTCTCAGCCTGTAGCTTCATGAATCATGAATTATCAAATATTTGATACTCAAATTCTCTCATATATACCGTTCATTTGAGCGTGAGGACATGTGTCAGTCTACTATTGGTTTGGGTCAAAAGTATGTGAGCAATGGCAGTAGCCTTGCTTTTGAAGTGTGTATACTAAAAATGTTGCAGTTGAATCTTGCTTCAGGAAAAGAAAAAGGAGCATCTGAGGTGTTGTCAAGGAGACGACTCGTGTCGCAGTTTTGCTCCAGTTTTGTTGTTATTTTGCATTGTCAGATTGTGAAAGCACAAGAATAACATCACAATTGAACAGGTTATACTTAGTGATGAAAATTGCTGGTGAACCATTGTTGGGATATGTATGTTTGACATATATGGTGATATTTGATGCCATGTTTTTAAGAAAGTTGGTGGCTAGACTCCACTCCACCCCTCTCCCAAAACTATCATACTAAAATTATCCAGTGTTTTTTTACTCCTGAACTAAACTTTTAGACGTTATAAAAGCCAGGTGGATGAGTTATTTCATTCTCCATGTCTCTAAGTAAGTGTTAACAAACACTTTGCCATTTGTCAAGCCAAAGTTTTTAAATAGTTCGGGGTTGAAAGAAACAAGACATAGTTTAAGTATGAAACTTGCAAAAACGTGATAACCAACCCTGAACCTTATACATTTGACCAACACGATGTTTGATTGCAACAAGTCACGAGGCCATATACTAGTTTCATTGCACGAGCTGAAATTTTAACGTCTTCCTGTTCAGGTGATAAAATGGATTCTAATTCCATCTCCTGCTGAGGCAATAACAACGCTCGTGCCGATGCCAAGATGGCTGGTGGTATTGTTTCCTTGAATTGCCTTAACAGATGAATTATGCGATTTGCAGTTTCTTCTGTAACAACATCGTCTCCAGCACATGGAACCTAATTATAATAAGAGGCTTTCAGTTACTAAATGTCTACATCAACATAAAATTTGATTTAAAAGGATATGTCGAAGGAAGCATATAGAAAAATAGAGAAAGAACCACTTCCACGCCCCCCCCCCCCCCCCCCACCAACCAACTTCCACACCTAATTGTCAACTGACTAACATATAATGCGATATCTACTGCATTAAACTCACACCTCGATACCACTAGACTACAAGCCTTGGTTTTCTATCTTCTTTCTTACAAAAAGTAAATATTAAAATCACTGTCGTGGAATCATTTATATACCAACTAGTTGTAATTTTGAACTAACCTCAGTAAAAACTGAAATAACCTTTGGAAGGTGCAGATAGTTGGGACCCAATAGTTCTCTGTCTGATCTGTAAGTTAGAAGATTTGGTAAAACACATTAAAGACTAAAAGAAGTTAATACCTATTACCATCATTTAGGTAGGAAAAGGGAACAACTAATAGTTGAGGTGATGATGAAAATTAATCGAACCATTCAACCATTGAACAGAGCTGGTCTAGAACTGCTTTGGCTTTGTTCATGTCATCTTTTATCGGAAGACAATTCAGCCAAGCCGGAATAATCTACAAAAACACATGGAATGAGAGTATTGTGTAAGTTTAACAAGATTGGAGTAGCATCATTTCATCTTGGAATGGATCAAAATCTACATGTTTATGCATCATTGGTGGGGGTGGCCTCCATGGTGGATAAGATGAGAGAAGGGAGAGTGAGATGGTTCGGGAATGTGAAGAGGAGATGCAAGGATGCCCCAATGAGGAGGTGTGAAAGGTTGGCTATCGCTGGTCTGAGGAGAGGTAGAGATAGATCGAAGAAGTATTTGGAAAAAAACATACCTGCACTGAGTCAATATCTTCCAGATGAAATTGACATATGCAACCAAGTGCAGAAACAGCACTATCATATGCCGTTACGTTGTCAGGTTCAAGAGCTTTGGAATGCCTAATGACTACATTGATCCTTGAAAGAGCCTCTGAAATCATGGAATTTATCAAATGACAAAAACATATTCGTCTTAATTACATGTTGAAACAAATCATACCTCCAATAAAAGGTTTGAAATCATAACCACCATATTGAGCACAAAGCCCAAGTCCACAAAATGCAGCCTGAACATGACATGAATGGTGTTTGAATGAATCAAATAGCAAATGTAATTTATCTGAAAGATCATATACAAACCTGTCTAACATCTGGATTGTCGTCATTGCTTGCGTCTAAGAGAAAAGGAAGATAGAAACTATGGTACCTAGTTACAGCAGAAAGTAACTATCAGAACATGACCTTATTATCTAAGAAAAATATCATAAAAGATAGACCTACTTTTGAGCTACTTCATCACAATGCTCCATGAAGGCATTGAATGTACGAATACGTTGTGTTCTCTCTCCAGTTGTTTCATCCTTTCCCTTTGAGCAGAGGAAAAAACAAAAACTATGAGAAAAGCAACCTATTTTGAGCTAAAATCTAACCGGAAACTCACCCTCATAGGCATTAGATCTGATGAAAGCTCTTCATGGAAGGGCAAGAAAGCATCCTTGAATGTTTCGATCAATGTTATCAATATGTCAACAACCTGATAAAGAAAAATGTTTGTGATTTGAGAAAAATCCAAGTGAAAGGTTTTATGAAGACAATAATGGTGTCGTTATGTCTGAACTTCATGTAAAAGATCTGCTACAGAACGAATACGGTTATTTTACAAATGATTAATCATCTCTTGAACATACATTGCTGAAAATTTCTTCTTCTGGCTCTTTTTCGTAGGTCAGCAAGTCAGCTTCCTCTGCATCAAAGTCTTCTGATTTTTCTCTGTCTATGAGTTCTCCTTTTCTAAGTGAACTTTCTCTAATGACATGCTTTATCCAATCAATGATGCTACGAACGTGAGCTTCATTGAGAAGTGGGCTACATATCTGTAAGAAGACACAAAAAAGGTCCATATAACTAGTGTTATTTCTTGCTTCGACAGCAATCATGAAACATTTCGTAAGTTAGTTTAACAGTGATCTACAGAAAACATTTCATAAGCTCAAAAACAGAACACCGCCATCACAGGATGACACGGATCAAAGTAAAGAAACGTCTTAGCATGACACACCTTTAGGCATTTATTCAATTCACTCAAAATAATTGTACATGTTTCTGTCTCAGGCTCCTGCATGAGATAACAATCAAAGTGTCACTATTGCTCTTTATTCAGATAAATGCAACTCAATCATTAGAAGCAAAAAAACGTAAATAGTAATATGTTGAAAGCAACCGAATATAAAGCTTCCCCCAGAGCCAGTATTATCTCTTCAGACAACTGCTTGAAGTTTAACTGGATTCCATCTTGAGCAATCCCTTTCTCTTCCGAAAGTTTAGCAGAACAACAGGCATGACATTGCTTAACCACCATAAATTATAACATCTCATGAGGAATCAGATAAATTAACGAAAAAACAAAGAAAACCATATGAAATCATGAGTATTTTTACCAGGAATAGCATTTTCTCTGACATCATAATCCATAGAGAAATTCAGAAGGGGAATTAAAATTGAAGCAGCCTGTTACATGATTTAAGACATAAATATCACTAGTTAATATCGAATCCACTTAACATCGCGTGGAATAAAGAAAACGTACAAGTGATTATACACGCTAACCTGGGAAATCCATGGGTAGAAGGCTTCCTGCAATGTCTGAGCAAATAAAACAAGGACATTACAGGCTGTAGATTTCCCATCTAGGAGGTCACGTCTTGTGATGCGTATCCTTCCATCTCCTAACTTGACTTCATGTATACTGTAAAATGTGAAACTTAAGCAACAAATAACCACATACTCCCACCAATCTTAGTACTGGTTAGTATAGCAAAAGAAATTATATACATATGGAAAAGAATTCGACAACAGGATGTGGCAAACTAATTGACACACTGTTGTCAAGGCTCACGACAATAGGATGTGACAAAACATGTTGAATGATTCGCCTTGCTTTATGGATGATTTAGTGTTGTGTGTAAGGCTCTAAGACATACTTTTCCTTACCGATGAGTGCAATCCTGAAGATGTGACACTATACAATTGACATTTCACTTTATCATATAAAAAAAACTCAATTTCTTTGACTGTATATTTGTTAGTCATGTTTATGATTATTAATCTCGGACTACATATACATATTTGTAGTTTTTCTCCATTTGCGCCTCTTTTCTTTAAAGCTGATGCTTTGTTTGCGCTAAAATCCCCTAAGGACCTTAGAGCCTTTTTGCACTTTGATAACACTGGTCTGACAGATATCACGGCAATATATGTCAGTGGGTCAAATTTTGATAATGTTTTGGCAGACATAGAAGACATGTCATGCCAGTTTGAGCTATAGATTTAAACACAGACATGATGAATGGTGACAAGGGTCTAAGAGGTACTTATCAAAAGAGTGTTGAGAATGAAGAGTGCGGAGAAGCCAATTTGATTGCGGCTTATGAAGGAATATCATGAATTGGTTGGAAGACTTCAGCAGCAACAATACATTCAGAGTAGGGGGTGACAGCAGAATTAGCTTTTAGAATTACAGATAGTGTGAAAGGGACCAGTTGAGGATTACACTCGCTATCATTTATAGACTATCAAACCAACGAGAGATGCCTGTGCAGGTTAGAAAATTCGGAGAGCAAGACAACACTCAAATATCTATTTTGAACATAGTGCCACGTAGGCTTTTGTTGATTCAAGCTGCTTTCTACCCTAGATTGTATAGAAATGAAGTAAGAAACCAAATTAAGATGAAGAAAATCCAAATGAATTTAAAAAATAACGGAAAAAGACAAACGTCAATGATAAAAAGCTTACCTATCATCACATTCATCATCCAAGTCTTTATCTATCTCAAGCTGAGCATATTCAACCAAAGGTGGCATAACAGTACTCATGTAAGGAAGAAATTCCTTACCAATGCACTTACAAATTGAGTGGCATGCCTATGATGAAGTGAAAAAAGCATTGAGAGGCCAATAAAAAAAGAAGTAGTGTTCCCGTAAAATGAAAAGGATTAACACATACCTTTAGAATGTGAATATTAGTATTATCAGACTCTTGTAATGACTTGAGCACTTCCATAACCTTTAACGACAAACAAAAAGCTATTAAAATAAGTCGATAATGAGAAATGAATATGCTCACACCACCTAGAAAAGAAAGAGAGTGTCATAAAAGAGTCAGTACGCGATCAAAAAGAAACTACTATGAGAAAAGATATCACAGTCATTCGTCATTGTTCCCAACTGTCCAAGAAGTATAATTTTCATCAAATCAATGAATACATGCATTTCTTACATACACTTTATATATCACTTAATTAACATATATTTTCAACTCAAGTTATCACTTAACCATGTATGCAAGCTTGTAATTAGATTTATCATTTGCATTTATCAGGATACTTTTCAAATCTGGCATTACAAAATCATAGAAATTCTTGAAGTGCTCCTGTTGAAATATGATACAGTATCCATCATTATCCATAACATAAGCAAAAAATAGAACTTGAGTGGGAAAAACAATTCAAGTTGGTAATACATTAGAAAACTCAGCTATATCGATCAATGCCTCTATTGCTGCTTTCTGAACCATTTGATCATCATTCTGCATTTCAAATAACAGAAATGAGTAAGAAAAAATCCTCTAAAACTTGTTAGCAGTAAAATACCTTTTTAACACGGTGGCCTCTATATATGCATACCTGAAGAAGTACAAGCAGTTTGTTGAGTATTTGATCCAAGTAAGGTACCAAAGTTTCTGGCATAGTAGGATCGAAGAATTGTCTAAGAGCACAAGCTGCATCTATCTATGAAAAGGCAAAAGAGAGTAAAACAAGTTAGTATACCATGGATTCTTCAAACTCTATTTAAGGGTCATTTCAATACCTCCCGTGACATATTTTTCTGCAGTTGCTTCCTCTCTAGTCTAATATATTACAGTCATTTAAGGCAAGCTTTACGTAGACCATAATATAGTCATAAGCTTAAATTTCAAGCAGTGCGCTATGAAGGCTCCATAAATTACAGCTATTAAGCTACTAACTGTACAAAGATTCTTGAAGCACAAGTGGCTGCTCATATGGCTCCCATGCCATACATCGTTTCTTCTAACTTCCTATTATTCTGTTTTTCTAAACAATTCTTTTTATAACAGTGGTGTTTGGTCAACTTGCACGCACCTCGACTAATTCTATGAGATACCTGTCACCTCCACCAACAACAAATACCAGGTAACTCTGTCCACCAAGGCTAGAATAATGGGAAGATATCACCTAGTGTTTTTTGTCTCTGCTGAAATTTGAACCTGAGACCTCATAGTTATCAACCCACTTCGTTGACCACTAAGTCACACCCTTGGGTGTTTTTCCTAGCACACTTCTCAACAACCATAAAGGGTAGAGAAGTCTAATTTTTAATCATAATCTAACTTTTTATTTATAACCTCATTGTATTTTGGGAAGTCTGCAACAACCATAAAGGGTTCATTATTCACCTGCATCCGAGGAAAATCATCCATTGCTGCAACTATTACAGGAACTACTTGGTTATGGTATTCTTCTTGCCACTCCCAATGAAAGTCAATCGACAACTGTTTGATTGTAACCATAGCGGCCCATCTGACTCGAGGATGAGGATCTTGGCAAGAATGCAAAACCGCATACACTATTTTCTCCAAATACTTTATCATCACCTATGGACAGATAAAAACAATGAGTTCAAGCTAATAGGCTAAGAAAATTAAACAGGTAGAGAGAAAGTTTTAACAAATGAGTAAACTATGAGCTAAGAAGCACCTCTTAAATGTTACACAATCATTGCAACATAATTATATGATAAATACACTAAACGAGACAGGTTTTGTACCTTCCAGCTTCCTTCAGCTATCTGATAAAATGCCCTGAGAGCTGCATGTCGCTTCTCCCACTCCGGGGAGTCAAAGTAAGCCTCCAGCTGCTCCATGGCAATAGAAGCAATAGTCTTTCCACCTAATGCAGCCGAGAACCGTTCTACACACTTCTCACCAAAAGCGTAGTTCTCTGTTTCCCCTGCGTACTCATGTTCAGTGTCTGTGCTATACCAGCTAGGTTCATCCTCAATATCCAGTAACAACTTCAAAATCATTGCAAAACATCTGTTTGTAAAGAAGGGTAACTTCTTCATCATACCCGGAGCCTTTTTCTTCGCCTCAACCAAAGTTAACACGAACTCAACTGCCAAGTGCTTTGTCTTCTCTTTCACACTCTTATCCTCAGCTATCTCAAACATGTCACTCACTACATCCACAAGCTGCCTCCTGAAGAACCTAGGCTCTTTCTTAGCCAACTCAATAAAAAGATTTAGCATGTTTTGTGCGGCATCATTTCTCACTGCATCAGTCAGCGCCCTCAGCATAGCTGGCAATAGATTCTGAAACCACTCCCTATCATTTGAACTGGGGAGGTACAGAATGAATCTGACTGCAGTGGTCAGAACCCCGACCCTCACTTGAGGATCAAGGATATCATCATTCAGTGTATTTAGGAAAACTGGGAACGAGATCATTATATCAGGGACTAATGTTTGGCAAACGCCTTCAGAAAATCCAGAGAAGATTAAGAAAAAAGAGTCTCTTAACTTGTTTGAATTGGAATTAACACATTCGTGTAAGAAAGGCAACAGTTCAGGCCAGCTATCAGATGGTAGAAATAGGTTCGAAAAGCTGTAGCATAAGTGCTTGATGATGGATTCTGATTCTTCGAGCCTTATACGAACAACAAGGATACACTTGATGGTGGATTGAGTTGATGAACTTAGATTGTTCCAAATGCACCCCTCACCATCACCAACAAGCAATTCATAAAGGATTTTAGCACATTTTTCACGGAAATCAGAGTTTTGAGAAGAACTGAGAAAGTCAGAAAGCTTAAGAGCAAGGGAGTCAGGATCCTTGAGCTTCATCATGTTCAATATTGAATCATTTTCCCCTGACCTCTCCATGTGATCGTAAATGAAAGTTTCAAATGGCTCGGATTCAGGTCCTGGAATCGCCTTCATCTGAGTAGACTCACTAATATCCATGTAGAGCTTCTTTTAGTCTTTTTTTTTTTTCAATTTCCGAACAAAAAAACAAACTTGTTTTGGTTACTGGTACTTACCACTCTCTTCGTTTAAGCATTTCGTTCCAAGAATTGTTTAAACAAGTAGAGTTGACTCTAACAAGAGTATTTTTTTTATATAAGAAGTCACAATGCTGTTGACATGATGCCTGCTTCCTGTCTGATATTCTGCAATTTATCTATTTACGTTATCTACTTTTAGATGAAACACCAACACACTTCAACTTAATTTCTTCATACAACAACAACAACAACAACATACCCAGTGAAATCTCACTAAGTGTGAGTACCGTATCACTACCTCGTGAAGGTAGAGAGGTTGTTTCTAAAACTCTTGACTCAAGTGCATCAAACTCAAGTAGTAGAAGAAAACAATGAATAAAGCATAACAGACAATACGAAAAGAATTATTGTAAGGTCTACAAGAAAGAAACAATACTAACAGCAAAATAGTGTGATAAACGAAATGCAATAAACAACATATGATAAACGAAATACAATAAACAACATATGACAAGAACTACAAGAACACGACTAGTATTGTGGCATATGCTAACAAGCCTAAGCTTTCACAGGGCAAGAGAATACTCTTCCCCTACTAACCTTTTACCCTTATACGTGACCTCCGCTCTTTCCTATCTAGAGTCATGCCCTCGGTAATGTGAAGTTGCACCATGTCCTGTCTAATCACTTTTCCCCAATACTTTTTTTGTCTACCTCTACCTCAACTGACATTTATATCCTCTAACTTTGGGTGTGCACATATAGGTACTTAAACTAGTATAAAATCAAATAAATAAACACATTCACCTTATGTGGAGTCATACATGTCAATTTTGTGTCCTACATGGCATTGTACATGTATTATGTCACGTAGGACACGTTGTCTACTTGTTCAATTTTATACAAGTTTAAGTATCTATGTGTGCACACCCAAAGTTGGAGGGTTTAGATGTCAGCTGAAACCATTTTAAAGGACATATTTAGACCATCTCCAACCCAACACCAAATCCTAAATTTGGTGTAAAATTTGGCGTTTTGAGCTCCAACCCACACCAATTTTTACACCAAATTTGGTGTGTGAATAGTGTTACATTAATTAAAAGTTTGTATAATGAAATAATACTAAAATATTCAAAAAGTGAATTGGTGTGATGAATAGTGTTACACCAAATTTGGTGTAACATTATTCATCACACCAATTCACTTTTTGAATATTTTAATATTATTTCATTATACAAACTTTTAATTAATATAAATTGTATGTTTTAATTAAATCTCTTGTATATTTAATTATTTTTTATGTAATATTTTTATAATATTAATTTTAGATATAAAATTTAGCTTTTTTATAAATTAATTTTTCTATATATGACTTTTTTTTAAAATTAAACTTATGTTAATTCTACTATAAATTATAATTGGATATAACTACAATTAACCTTCACAAAAATTAAAAATGCAAAACTTGCCCATTTTGAACTACGTAATGCATTAATAGAGCATTTATGGGAGCACCGTAGTGATCTTGAAAGTTGAATATTTATGTAGAATTTAAAATATCTTTTTCAGTTATGTAATGTTTGTTTAATTGTATTTTATTAATGATTTCACTTTTATTTGTATTATCCATTATTACGTATAATGTATAATATTTGCTAGCAATTTATATTATTTAAAAAATTATGGTACAAAATAATTTTATATTAAACGATTATAAAAGGAAATAATATGAATTATATATGGTGAATGTTTTAGAAAGAATTTGTTTTATGAAATAAGAAAATATAAATGAAATAATAATATAATAATGAATAGAGAGAAAAATATTCCTTTTTGATGTAAAATTTGGTGCAGTGGGTTGGAGTTGATTACACCAAAAATAGTGTTGTAAAATTTGGTGTTTGGGTTGGAGATGCCCTTACATATTATGCATATCATATTTCATTTTCAACATATTGGTTAAAATTTTCTTGCGTGTATATCGAGTCGGACAATATATGACGTTATAAAATAATATTGATTATTAGAACAAAGCTTTGATAAACAATTACAAATGAAGAATAAAACATATATTTCTTTAAATGACCAATGTGGATTATGAACCTACTAAGTGAACTATCAAATTTTAAATATGGAGATACAAAGAAACATTTTTCATTCTTTAGTAGTGTTATGCTATATATATTCGGAAAAATCTTAATAGTTCGGTTGGTTGGTTACAAGAACTTTCACATTATTGATGAGGGTTCGATTCCTCGTAATTCCCTCCTCATTTTCCCTTTCCCTTATACACAATATCTATAATATGGAAGAAAATTAATGTGTATAATTTTCATGATGTGATCAATTAAGATAACGCAATAAGTATTAATCTTCTTGCCTTATTGATTGACCATTTCATGTATAAATTGAAAGATAAAAATAGCAATAGTTGATGTATAAATTTATGAAAATAGTGACCATTCAACTAAACAGATAATAAATTAAAATTGACTCATCCCTATAATATGGAGTCAGATAAATGGTCATTTGGTGCCACTGGCCAAGTGCTGGGTATTTTATTTATTTTTTAAAAAAAAATGGAGTTAGATAAATGTCAGTTTTTAGGAAGAATTGACAGAAAAAGTTAAGAAAAAAGTGCTTGAAAACCATATCAACGATGGTAACTTTATACAAGTTAAAGTGTTTATTTGTGCATATCCAAAGTTGGAGGACATTGATGTCAGTTGAAGCAAAGTTAAAAGGCATATTTATGTATAATGGCAAAAATTAATGTATTAACATACACGAAAAATTGAGAAAATCATCCAATTCCTTTTGAATGGACCCTAAATGCTAAGAAAGTGGCGTGAATTATAGTATTGTTATCATTACAGAGGGTCCTGGAATGTTTTTGCAAAAAAGTTTCAACAATCCATATCACCAAAAAAATCATGTACTAACATACATGAAAAATTGAGAAAATTGCCTAATTCCTGTTGAATGGACCCTAAATACTAAAAAATGGCATGGATCATGGTGAGACTATACATATTGTCCCCCCAGGACATTACGGAGGGTCTTGTAAAGGTTTTGAAAAAAAAAAGTGCTTGAAAATCATAGCTCCAAAAATTTCGTCACACATGAAAAACTGAGAAAGAGTGGCCCTAAATGCTAGAAAATATTGTGGATCGTGGTGAGGTTATACGTATTATTCCCCTAAGTCATTGCGGAAGGTCCTGTAAAGATTTTGGAAAAAAAAGTGTCTGAAAACCATATCACCAAAAAATTTATTGACTAACACTCGAAAAATTGAGAAAATTGCCCAATTTCAATTGAGTGGCCCCTGAATACTAAAAAAATGGTCTGTAAATGTTTTGGTATTTGATAAATCCCATGATTTCTGAGGCTCTTTCAAGAATCAATGTAGTCATTGCAAATATTGATCCAATTGTTCACCCCCATTTTGTGTCTCACACAAAGTTGTCTGAGTCTTCTCTTTGTTTAACTAAAAAACAAAGTAAGGTCAATGGCTATAAAAAAAAAATCCATCACACTTAACATGACTCACCAAATGTAAAACAACTAAACTAGTTGATTAAAAAAGAATCCAACTTGCTCCCAAGTCTCTTGTTCAGGATAAGGCACAAGTACCCCTAGACTATGATCGAAATCTTAGAGAGACACTTTAATTGAAGTCCTATTACCCCTCGAACTCATTTTATTTTATAATTTTGTACACCTTTTGGCTTACGTGGCACACTCTGTGACTCCACGTAGTTGAGGCGTGTGGAAAATTTTTGGATGGCACGTAAGCCAAAAAGGTGTACGAAATTAAGAAAAAAATGGATTCAGGATAATAGGACCTTAGTTTAGTTAAGGTGTGTCTCTGGGTAATTGTGCCTTAATGATTGTGCCTTATCCTTCATTAGTACTTTCTTACATTTTGAGTAAACAAATGAAAATGCTCAGCAAGAAGTAATTCTTGTTCTCTCAGAGTTATCAAAGGTAATAGACTCTTGAGCCAACTTATCTCTATTTCATTATTGCATCTTGAACAAAAATTGAACAGTAACAACTATGTGTAATTAACATGATAAAACTGAATCTTTATACAAATCAGTACTGAAATTTTGAGTTTAGTATGATTTGAATTATGACTTGCCTGTTGGTCAATAGTTTTGTAAGTTGGATCAGTTAATAGTATAAATTCAAAAGAGTAAATCTGTACATACAAGTATCATCTTTTTTGGTTTCCTACCCGATGTTTGGGACCTGCTTTGGTCCCTGACTAATCTGAATTCATGCCAGAAAGTTCCAATTCAATGCTGCACCCGTGTCAGATTCTCCAAAAATACACTACTTTTTGGAGAATCCGGCACACACCTGTTAACACTTTAGAAGAGTCCGAGCAACATAGTTTTCTTTACAGAGAAAAAGAAAATCTCATGTTCCTGTTGTAAAGAGTTATAAACATATCAAAGAAATTCTGTTATAAGGTTGTAAATCTCATGTTTGGTTCTAAAATGTGATTGTTTTTTAAATCTCTTTATTCTCAGAGCTGTCAATATCTCTTCCATACTGAGGACACTTCGACGGGGAAACAAATGTCTGAAATAGAGAGGAGATTTCTTGATACTTTTTTGTTTTGGGCAACTCAAAAAGGGAGGATTAAGGATGGGAGATTGCGAGGACATGGAATGCAAGTCGGTGATACTGTTTCTGGGCCAAGGTCAGACTTATCTTCTGCAGAAGTCAAAAAAGGTTATGAGTTTCTCCTATCACTGGTTCCAGGAAGATGGACTTTACCAAATGTATGCTGCCCGTTGTTTCATAAGTTCATCGAATACATCCTTCAGAATGTGATGGATCTTTTCATGAACAAGAATGAGCTGGACAAGTTTGTTCTTCTGAAGAAAGAGTTTCAAGTCCTTGAAGAAAGTTTAAAATATCTCAAAACCTTCCTCAATTTCATAAAAGATGCAAACATAGAACTAGAGAAATCGAGAATGCTCTTTGATCACGTGGAGGTTGTCACTCGGAATGCTGCTTACATTTGTTACCTATGTTATGTGGAAGAAGTGGACAATGATCTGGCATCTAGTTTGAGACTTAAGATCTCTAACGTTTTGCGAGATATCAAGCCCCTTGATCCCCGTGTTTCAGAAATCTATACTGGAGCTCTAAGAGGTTTAGTTAAATTCCAAATCCAGTACATCCGGGATGTGAAAGAATTTGTGGAAGGTTTTGTTCAGTTTCTCTTCAAGGATCTGTTGGAGTTATCAAATGGTGAGGCATATTCTTTGATGTTTCCTCTTATAAATGACCTTTACCATGCATCAAAGCAATTGGTAACTTTGCTCATTTATCCACCTGAAGATCTATGTGTCAATCAGGGGAAATTGAGTGACATTCTTACATGCATTGAAAGTCTTATTGCTGAGGTAGCATCTGCTGCTTACTCTTTCTCTGTTGATAAAGCAGCAGAAGTTAACTCGGTATTTGCAGACTTGTTAAAAAAGATTGACAGTGTCATGGAAGATGTAAAAGATGTCATTTTGGAAGCTCCATTATCATCACAGTGTAATTACCCCAGGACAGATGGATTAGGTTTTATTGATTCCCTCTTACGATATCTGAATGATCTGCTGCAAGACGGAAAGTGTGATTCTGTTGTCAAGCATCTTATCGCAGAATCTCAGGAGGAGTTATCTCTCCTAAGATCCTTCATGGAGAAATTTGAGAAGAAAAAACATGAGTTTGAGGAGGTGAAGAAACATGATCTTTGGACAAAAGTCATATCTCTCGCATACCAGGCGGAATGCATTATTGATTGCCTAATTACCGGAGATTATCCTGTTTGGTATCTGCATTTGTTATGTAAGATCACAAAAGAAACTAAGCTTGTCAAGGATCAGTTGGAAGAGTTCCATGCTACGATTGTGCGAGAAGTTGAAGTCCCTATCGAAGAACAAACACCAAATCCTGTCAGACAAGTAGTTGAGACTACACAACTTGATGAGGTAGTGGTAGGTTTTGATGAAGAGACTGACTTGCTAATCAACCGGCTCACTAGAGGACCAAAGGACTTAGATATTGTGTCTATTGTAGGGATGCCTGGTCTTGGAAAGACTACACTAGCAAAGAAAGTTTATCATGATGAGAACATACAACATCATTTCGATGTCAAAGCCAAGTGTTGTGTTTCCCAAGCTTATGACAGGAGAAAGTTGCTGCTTGAAATCTTGAATCAAGTTAAAAGTTCCAATCAACAGAATGAGAAAAATCCAGCAGATGCTTTGCGGAAATTCTTAAAAAGGAAGAGGTACCTTCTCTACATTGATGACATTTGGAGTGTTGACACATGGGATGACTTGAGAGGATGCTTCCCGGATGATAATAACGGAAGCAGGATTTTATTAACTAGCAGACTCAGCGATGTGGCTTCAGAAATTAACCCTGATAGAGCACCTCTTCACCTTCGTGTTCTTTCCGAAAATGAAAGTTGGGAACTAATGAAAATCAAGCTGTTCAAGGAACAAACTTGTCCACCAGACCTATCAAAAGTAGGAGAAAACATCGCGAGAAAGTGTCAAGGACTACCTCTCCTTGTGATTTTGGTAGCTGGAGTTTTGTCTGGAATAAGCAAAAATGAGGAAAGTTGGAGAAAAATTGCAGAGAGTATAAATTTAGATACTGTCACTAGTGCAAAAGAGTGCTTGGATGTAATAGAATTGAGCTACAAGCACTTGCCAGATAACCTCAAGCCCTGCCTGCTTTATTTTGCATCATTTCGAGAGGATGAAGAAATTTCATCCACAAACTTGGCATGGTTATGGACTATTGAGGGATTTATTCCAAACACAGAGGCAAAGAGTGTAGAGTTTGTTGCGGAAAGTTTACTGAATGATCTCATCGGTAGAAGCTTGATTATGGTGAGCAAGAAAAGGTCAATCGGAGGAGTCAGAACATGTCACATTCATGATGTGTTGCATGATTTTTGTGTGACAAAAGCTAAGGAAGAGAAGTTTATGCAGCTAACAAGCAATGGGAAGACAGATTTGTCAAGTTCCTTTTATGAGAATCGGAGGCTTTGCATTGATCATAGCCTTTATTGGGCAGAGAGGATTGGAAACCTGCAAGTTCGGTCTGCATTCTTCAGACCCCCGAAATCTGGCAGCCAGGAAATTTTTGATCTCGAGAACTTTAAACTTGTAAGAGTTCTACAAATGGAATGTCCTGTGTCAGACAGTTCATTCCAGAGATCAACAGATCAGATCCATCTGAAGTACTTAGGAATCAAAGGCTATATGGAATCAATGCCATCATGGATATCGAACCTTTCAAACCTAGAGGTATTGCTTGTAATAACAGTAGGCAGTGGTACAATACTGCCGATGACCATCTGGGATATGCCAAGGTTAAAGCATGTCCATGTAGTACCTGTTGCATCTCTTGATGGAGGTATTCCTCGCAAATCAACAAACATATGTTGCTTAGAGACCTTGGCCACAGTGTCTCTGACTAATAAGCAAGCAGACTACATGATCAAGATGGCAAATAGACTGCGAAAGCTCAAGTGCCAGTGTAAAGAGCCTCTCAAACTCAGATTGGATGCTCTTCAACTTGAAACACTCAGTGTGAATGGTAAGATCTTGAAATTCAGCTTGCCTGAGACACTAACAAAGCTAACTCTATCAGATGTTTTGTTGCCACAAAGTGTAATGTCTAATATCGGAAGATTACCAAATTTAGTGGTTCTCAAGTTGGAGCATAGAGCATTTCAGCAGGGGAAATGGGACATTGAAGATGAAGAGTTTCCAACCCTCAAGGTTCTTAAATTGAGATCCCTCAAAATTACAACATGGGATGCCTCGAGTGAGTCCTTGTCAAACCTCGAACAGCTTCTGGTAGAAAGCTGCTTCCATCTTCAAGAAATTCCCTCTGTTGTTGGAGAAATTCGTACTCTGAAGATGATTGAAGTGAAACGATGCGGTGAGTCTCTTGAAAACTCAGTCAGGCAAATTCAGGAAGAGCAAGAAGGATATGGAAATGAAGTGCTCAAGGTCCTTATTTACCCCTTGGATTCGTCAACCTGATGTGCATATAAAAACTGCAATACTGGTTCAACAGGTATAACTGACTCAAGCTTATTTGCTGATCTTGTAAAGCTCAATGATTCTCTTAAGCTGTTTCCTTTGTTCATATCCTGCTAGATGGAAGCTAGGAAGTTGAAGACATTTTTCTTTATTGATTTGCATTTGTTCTTCAATGGCAGCCTTGGAGCAATAGTAAAGTTGTCTATAGGTCATGGGTTTGACCTGTGTAGACTGCTTACATCACATCCTCACATCCCCTTGTGGTGCTGCATCAAGGTAGGGTGCTTACATCACACCACTTGGAGTGAAGCCCTTTCTGAACCCTGTGTGAACGTGGGATGCTTTGTGCAGCCTTTTTTATTTGTTAAATAATTGTCAAAAGAACCTCTTTGGATGGATCTATTGTATTGACATATGAACATTATTTCTTTATATGACTATTGTGGATCTTGCAAGATGAGATAACTTGTCAGTAGATGAAATCACAACCATGAAAGAGGAATATTTTTCATATTTTAAGCACCCTCCACCTCCGACCCTAAGGTTGTGAATTCGGAGCTTCTACAGAACGGTAAAAAATAAAAATAAATGCTGAAATTTTCAGGTCCAATATTCTCTAAAACTTCACCGCTGTTTCATAGTTACACTAAAAATCAGACAGTATGCTATACGTGGCTAAAATAACAATGTTCTAAATCACATATAACTCTTTGTACAAAGATCTCTACTGAAATCTTTCATGTTTGAATTATTCTTCATGATGAAAACCTCAACCTACAATACCAGAAAATCCAATTATTCTAAACCACTTGAGCAGCCAGCAATATACAAAAGCTATCGTCGTGTATGTGTTTTGATCGAATCTGCAGTGAGAAACATCAACAGTGAGTCATTTCTGAAAGAAACATCTATCAATTGGCACAAAAACCACACCTACTTCATCCTTATACCAAGTCCTCCTTCAACGAGACGTGAAGGAATGAACGAAAGAAGATCATAATTCTCACATGTGTGTTGGAAAACCAAGCACATGAGTTCTCTACAATGACTATTCTATATAGTATTGGTCTATCTCATTCCTTTTTACACCTTCAATCATCATGTTGCACCTATGAACGGACGCATGTGCTACTAGCACCATAAAACAAAATTAATATCTTAAACATTATGTCCACTCAAAATCGTCAGACAAAATGGAACCAAAGTAAGTACAACAACTCTAATGAATCTTATAAGATGGAGAAAGTTACCTATACACAATCAATCTCCACTGAAATTAGTGTATCTCAAGTTCTCTGATGGATTGGTTAACCTCTCAATGCCTCCTGAAAGTCAAAGACATGATATTGGTTATCTGAAGAGAATAACAAAAAAGTACACAAGTCTTACTTTGGGAATATCCACCTACCATTTGAATCGAGCAAGTTGCCAGTATCTGTTGCTAAAAAGGGAGTCCTAGAGTAGCTCCCTAATATATCTGAACATGGTCAAAACGAATATAAAGTATGCCTGATTAGCATCAATACCAGCTCATTTTAATACCTGAAACGTTGAAAGTGAAAAAGACAAATCCAGAGATGCTTGGTGAAATTACGGAGAAAATAGGGAGAGGAAGACACATACCAGAACTATTAGTGAAATCAGCAGTCAAGTCTGAGAAACCAAAATTTTGAGGTATATCCCCTAGAAATCCAAACGAAGAAGTGTCAGCATCCAGAAGAGGTTCATTAAGAGGTTGTGTGTTCGACTCCACACTACTAAACGATGAAACAGATGCATCGCCCATTGCAGAACGTGACTCCAAGTAAGTGCCATGAGGACCAAAGGCAAACGGAGAATTGCCACCATAGATAGGTTCTGTCTTAATAATCCTCCCATCCATTGTTTGTCTCATCCCCATGTTAGAGGGCTGGCCCAAAAACATATTAGGAGGACCATTAATTTTCCTGCTTTGAGAAGGAATATCAATTGTTGTTTGCATGCAAGAGAGAACAGATGAGCTGCTGTTACTGAATGCATTGGGTCTATCAGCATGTACAGGTTCATGCATGCCATTAGGCTTTGCAGCAGTTCCAACATTTTCGGCAGCACCACAAGTTGAACTTTGATGCACTGCAGTAAGGCAAGAAAACTTAACATTAACTAGAGACAACAACACAGATTCTCAAATGCAGGTTCTAGCAAGAACACAGGTAACAAGCAAATAGAAGGCAATGAAGATAAGGATAAGTCTAGACAAAAGCTTAGTGGCAGGCTCCAAACTGAAAACGATGCTCGTCATGCTTGTTGCAGAAAAGATCAGACAAACTAAGCTAAATCTTTTTGATAATGTAATAAATCTCATTCAAAAGGACAAGAACAACAATTGCCCTTATACAAGAGGTAAACTAAACAGTGATGATATGGCTTTCTCCGAAAGGCACCCAAACTTCTATACAAGTGGGGAACCTCATGGATGCACCAAAGAAGTAAGGGGTAAGAGGTTATTCCTTAAATGCAAAATCCATCTCTACTCAATCAAAAATTCAGTATTCTTCTCTCGACATAAGAGGAGCAACATCTCATGTGCTACGTCTTCTCTTCCGTCTTATACAGGTACAGCTAAATCTTTTGACCAGAAAATCTGGCTGAACAGCTCTGGTCTCCGTTAACTCAGCAGAAAAGATGTTGCTCAAAACAATGGCCAGAAAGATGCAAAAACTAGAAATCGTCAGCACAAGAGACAGCGTCCTTGAAACGGTCACCCAGAAAGGCATGGCACTACTAGAACAGTCACCATAAAGAGGTGTGGTATCACCAGAACATTCATCAGAAAAAGGTGAGCTGATGCCAGAATGGTTGCCAGAAAGGAACATAGGAGCATAGTGCTGCCTTGGTACCAAGTGGAAAAATAAAAATAGAAGATAAGACATTGAAGACTTAACGATAATGGAATACAAGACACCAACTTATTGGTGTCAAACCCAAGACTTACATAGTACTTGTTTGACGTTGGACAACAAAATTATCATCTCATTCTTTAACACTATTCTAAAGCTAACACTTGACATTCTAACAATACATAGTTCCATGCCCATGAACACTACATCTGGCATTCCTCCTACATTAGCACCCAACTAACACTGGCCCCAGTATCATACTGGCAGTATGTGAAAATCTCTTTTCTTAAGAACGGAAGACAACATTGTAAGGGGAGTTGTAGGAGAATTAACACTTGCACGTGTGGAACACATTAGAGACGAAATAACTATATACATAGCATTTTCAACAAAAAAGTAATAATAATCATCATCATCATACTATACTAAAAGTGGGAAACCTCCATGTCTACGAAATTGCCCATAAATAATTGATAACAACTTTGTTATCACATAATTAAAAAAAAAATAAAAAATCTAAACATAAAACGTCTTCTGTGTACATTGAATCTGAATGTAAAAAATTGTTTCATACTCCCACAATTAATACATGTTTCAATTGCTTAGTTATTACATGCAATTGTTTCAATCTTAATGTTCCGTTTCGGTACCTTCTTGGTACTTAGTCAATAAACCTTTACCTTATCAAAAAAAAAAAAAAAAAAAAAAGTCATAACCTTTTCACATCACCTTTTCATTTTCTTTACAATATTCTATAAATTTGCACTAAAAAAGATTGATATTCAATCACATTATCACACGGTCTATCAAACTCAATGTAAAGGCTTTTCATGAGTTCTACATTCACAACTTATACAACTCCCTATATATTTCCTCCTTTTGGGTTTCAGTTACAGAATACTATCGAATTTTGAGTTCAAGCATTATATTGCTTTTTGATGAAAACGTCGGGGGAAAAACACGTTATGGTTTTGATAATGGTATGAGCCTTTTATTTGGGTATCATAAATATGCCGACAGTAATCACATAATTCTTGTATTGATATTCTTAGTTATATGTTGGGTTTATATGATTATAGTTCTTTTAGGATGGATTGTAATATTATTTGTGATTTATATACTTCTTACTAATATTCCATACATCTTGCTGAAAGTACCTTTTTTATTTTGTATATATTTGTGCTTTATTTTCTAGCTTTGTATTTAATAATAGATTTGTTGGGTTGCAATTATTTGAATTATTTGTCAAAAGTTTTTCCTTTTGTAATTTTGTGCTTTAATAGAGAAGATTTGGATTAGATTATGAAATAAAAATTCTTTGTAAAGTTACATATGCTTGAAGATATTGTATGAAGGATGAAGACACCTACACATGACGTTGTTTTCTCATAAAAATGAAACTCTTGATTCAAAAAAAAAAATTAAGGTGTAGATTTCACACTACCTTTGTAGTTTATTTGGTACAAATAATTAGTAAATAACATCAAAAGCAGTTTTACAATGTTGAAAAAAAATAATCAATGCCTGAAGAAAGTTATTGATACTCTTCTCTTAAGGTCTGTGAAGCTTTCTATTGTTAAATTTATTATTTCATCTTGTTTGAATTGTGCAAGCTAGCTATTTCAGCTTATCTTTCTATTATGTTTTCTTAAAGAAGTCTATATGTAATAAAAAGACAAAATAAAATTGTGAGTAATGCAACAATAAGTCAATACATTCTACTACAATGCTACTAAATTGACCACATATAATATAGTATTGAAATAACAATAAGAAGACTTTTGTGAGATAGAGCTTTTTTTATTGAGTTAGTTAAACAAGATCAACTTTCATAACTTCTAAAACTCACACTTTTTCTCATTTTAAATTTATTTTATAAGTCAAATGTATTTACAATGTAATACAAAATCATATTGGTGTACACGCGCATCGCGCATGCTCCTAAACTAGTAAATAATAAAACGGATCACTATATGAGTAGGCAATTTCATATTTGGAACCTTAGACTAAAATAAAGAGAAGAGTGCTAATTCTCATGAATTCTTTCAGTATTATAGGATAAAAATATGGTGCTTGCTGGCTTTACCAATATCACAGATCATTTTACCTTCCCCAATACAA